TTTTAGTTTAAAATATTACTACACAGTGAAAAATCTTGGTATCTGTGATAGATGGAGCTGTGTGTCAACTTAGCTGGACCACAATTCTGTGTGGTTTAAGCAGCTGTGAAGTGGTTATTTCCATGATAGGATCAGATGTATATGTTTTGAGCAGCCAATCTGTTGAAAGGGAGTTTCCCAGGGGTGTGGCCTTCTTATGGACATCCTGGAAAAAGAGACACTCTTCTGTGGATCATGATTCTTTTGTGCTGCCTACAACTGTCCATGAGCGAACAATCCACCATTCGGCCTGGAGATCTTGGATTCGTCATTCGTTGGAGTCAACAGCCAGTATACTACCTGCCAACTTTGAGCTCCTCAGCCCCTGCAGCTGCAAGAGTCGGGAAAAGCCTCCAGTTTGACGTTTGATCCAAGAACTTTGGACTTGCCAGCTTCTGTAAGTGTGTGAGCCATTTTCCTAAGATAAATTTCTCTTTCTCTATATATATAAGCTTTACTGATTTTATTTCTCTAGAGAACCCAGTGTAACACAGTATCAGTTCCAGGATAAAATCTCAGCTTTTTCTTGCTAGATGACTTTGGGTAAGTTACCAAACTTCTCCATACCTCAGTTTTCAAAGCTACATAAATGGCATATTGCAGGATTAGATAAAGATTAGTCATTGCTATTGTTAATTTAGCACTAATCTGTAACAATATCTCCTTCTATGGAAGATTCTTAGTACTCATTCTCCCTAAGACTTTCAGAAATAACAGCACATTTCAAGCAACCCACACAAGTCAAACATCAAAACCACAGCCAATGTAGAACATATTTTGCTTTGCTTTTTAATAAAAATTGATTTCTAAAATTTCATTGGTTTTATCTGGAAAGGGATAGCTTTGTGTACTATTCATTGTCTTGCATTCACTGAATAAAGCCATCTTAAGAAGAAATGCAATTATCTCTATAAAAACTCCATTATTATATACTTTCAAGAAAGCTCTACAGGATTTTACAGGAAAAATAACTTAGAAACTGTAATTCAAATTTCCCTCTCACACAATTCTGAATCTTTCAATAAATCAGAAATGACAAGACTGCAAAGTTGCCAGGATAATCTCCAAACTCCTAAACTGGTATCATCAGAAAATACTGTAGCTCTATATACAACTTTCATAGTTGCCTTACATATTCAATAAAAAGTTAATTTGTTACAGCTTTCCATTATTTTAGAGCAATTCCAGATAAGGCCTAACAGGACTCAGTATCTTCCAGAATGCATCTTCCAAGGGTAACATTCCTAGAGAACTGATACTGGCATTGGATCAGCTGAAAAAACATAGTTTGCAACTTAACTTTACAACCAAAGAAGCACTTCTATCTTCATGGTTACTTCCTGTTGTTGTTAGTGCCATCGAGTCGTCTCCGACTCACAGCGACCTGATATACAACAGAACGAAACACTGCCCAGTCCTGCACCATCCTCACAATCCTTGCTATATCTGATATATATACTTCCTAGATAAACTCATTTGAATTATTTTCCAGTTCCAATTAGTCAATACATCCCAATTCTTTTCTTGAGGATATTGTTTTATTTTTAGCTATTTTACTGTCATCTTACTTTTTACATTTTTTTAAAAATTACATTAACAGCTACAGAAAAATGCAATATCAAAGTAATCTGAATTAAGAATTAAGATTTCTGGAAGCTAAGAAACACTGGGAATACAAACAAGTAAATATATTCATTTGTCTGCTAAATCAGTGTTTATTTGTGATACATATTTCATGCTAATCATACTTGAATAATGAGAGAAATTCCTAATTTAACAATAGTTGACATTCTTCAAATAATTATTGTTCTTGCTCTTTACCTCCCTGGTTGACTGATCATATTGCTAATCAATGTGAAATGATATTGACTTCTCATGTCAATTGGAGGAATTTGCTACATATGATTAATTAGCTTTACAAGGGTATTACTAGCTAATTTACAAGAAATTGTGAGGAGTGTGTAGTGTCCTGAATTGATCAGAGTAAAAGAAAATTAATTGTTAAAGAATCATTTCTTAATTCACTTATAATTATTTGCACCACTGTCCAATGCTCTGCCCTATATAATTACACATTTTTAATTGTACATTAGAGCAAAACTAATTTATTTAACTATCCCTATTTATAATTAAGTAACTCTAAGGCCTATATCCAAAATTTTAAATTTGAGTACTGTTCTAAATTCCCATCTTTGAAAATTGTGATTCTTCCAAATTTTAGCTCATCAAGATCCTGCAATTAATATATTAATCCTTAGATCTTACCATGGCTTTAGCCAATTAGAAATTCAGCCAATTTAGAAATTTCTCAACTGAATGAAGATGTATCATATTATTTTCCCAAAAAATACTCTCTAGTTAATCTGAGTGGTATAGTGTCTAAGGCATTTGACTGCTAACCAGAAAGCTGGCAGTTCAAACCCACCAGCCACTCCTTGGAAGGAAGACTGGGCAATCTATTTCTGTAGTGATGCTGCCTTGGAAACCCAAGGGGGCGTCACTATGAGTTGGATCTGACTCGTTGGCAGTGAATTTGGTTTTCTTGGTTTGCCACTTCTAAATCACTTTTACTAACCTTTGCATATAATTTGCATAACTGCCACAGGTCCATCATTTATGCAAATCCCTATATTTTTCCAAATGGAAAAGAATTGGAGAGAAATGGAGAAAGTCATCTCAGCTTTACCCTCTTGTCTGAATGGAGCAATGATCTAGTATATACAAATTTTATATTTCACTTCAAACCAAAGCGTATCAGATGTTTGGGTTTTTTTTTTTTTTTTTGGTTTTTTGTTGTTGTTTTTTTTTCCAATTACAGACATCATCTCTACAACCAAGATGTAAATTTTATTTTCAAAGTTCAAACAAGCCAGAAAAAAAAAAAAAGAGAAGAAGAAGAACAAATTCCATAAGGAAAAAGAATGAAAAATGAAAATGGAAAAGAAAAGGAAGAATGAGTTTCAACTACTGTACCTAGTAGCAGGTAAACGAAATAGTCCAAGTCCTTGACTTTAAAGAATTTATTAAGCACAAACACACACTCATGGATACACACATGGATGTATGCAGGTACAAATTCCACCACTTTGGTTTACATTTACTCTTCTTTCCATCAAGTATCTATGCTCCACTCATCACCCCTCATTAAGGGAACATTTATCTTGATTCTTCATGGGAAGGGCCAAGCCTTTCCTACTCTCAACCGTAGTATCTTGGGGACAGTTCAGGTAGAATATGTAACTCAGACCTAACCATTCCCCTAGCCTCAGTGACTCATTCAAGTTGAGTCAATCAGACCAATCAGAGACAATCCCAGGCATTTTGTGTGAATGACTTGAAAGAGGCCATAATTCTTTCCTACTATGCTTGAAGACAAGAGGATTAGATTGTTAAGGCTGAAGCCATGGCAGTCATTTTGCTTCCATGAGGGAAAGAAGGAAGCCACCAGAGGACACCATGAAGACCTTAAATGAGAGATGAAAGAAAACCACAACCAGAGAACACAGTGGTGGATTATCCAATAAGCAAGGTAAGCACAGACTTACTTGTGCTTATTTACTCACCTATAGCAAACAATTTCACATGAGTTCCACCACATCTTTTCTGTGATGAAAAACATGGAAACTTTTCACTATAGGATTAGTAAGTAAACACAAGTAAGCCCATGCTTACCTTGCTTACTGGGTACTCTGTCCTTGTGAGGGACTGAAAATTTGAAAAGAAGCTTTGATTTCTGTAGAATGGTGCTATAGCATTGGGAGAGAGACATATGCCAACCATATCTAGAAGCAGAATCTTTGATGTGGTGAAAAAATGTGAAATTGTTCACTTCAGACTAGTAAGTAAGCACAAGTAAGTTTGTGCTTACCTTGCTTATTGAGTAATCTAACAGAAGGATAGCTTGAGAAGTCTGGACTTAGCCATTCCTAAAGCTAAGATCTGCTTCTGGACCTCTTAAATTATGTGAACCAATGAATGTTCTTTTTTTAAAGCTATATGGAGTTAGAAAGAGTCTTAATTGATAAATCGAGACTCTGATATCCTAAAGATGATATAAAAAATACACAAGATAGGCTTCAACATAATAATGCAGTGCTCAACTTACGATGTATTCAAGTTACAACCAACCACACTTACAACCATCTGGTTTTTTGGAGTTGTTTTTATACATCTTATCGTCAGCAATACACACTACATATAATGTTGCAGTGCATAATTTGCTGATGTTATCAATCTCAGATGTTCACTCACAGATGTTCAAAGATTGAATTTATAAAGATGCTGATAATAAAAGGTAATAATTATGAAAGTTTTTTTTTTTTAAGGTACTCAACTTATGTCAAAACTGACTTATAATGGAGTCATCAGAATAGAACCCTGTCCTTAGTCAGGGATTACCTGCACATAGAAGTTCAACTGCTCACCTTCCCTTAACAGTACATACCACATGTGTTTTTCTTCATATTTCTGATGCATCTCTCATGGGGTTTTAGTAATGCACTATTTTAATATCATGGTAAAAAAAAATTTAGTCAATATAAATCTGATGTATCACATAATAATGCTGTTCATATGCATCATTACATATATGTTTTTAAATCCATATAACAATCCCATGAAATAGATACATTTCATAGGTTAAGAATAAAAATTTAGAAAGGAAGACTGGGCAATCTACTTCCATAAAGATTTACTGCCTCAGAAGCCCAATAAGGGTTGTTGTGAGTCAAAATTGACTCTATGGCAGTGGGTTTTTCTTTGGGTAACTTGGCTCCAAGACCTCATAGCTAGTAAGTGGTGGGGCCAGGTATTCTTTCCATTGTTATCTTTCACAATTCTTTTCAGCACTCCACAAATACTCCTTATCTTGAAAAGCATAATTGCCTATGAATGCAAACAGACATAAGCATTAAGGTCCATTAAACTGAGGAATGTAAAACTTTAAAAGAGTAAGTTCTTACCTAAATCAGTATCTCGAATTCCCATATACAATTCAAGCAGGTCATCAACCTTTTTAATTGCCATTGTTTCAGATTCAGATGGCTTTATAAAAAGAGAGAGAAAGAAAATATTATCTTCTTATAATAATTTTTTTTTAATACCACAATATACACAGGGGCAAACATGATGCAGAATCAATCCATGGTTGTATACTTCAGGTAATATTAATGGAGACATACCTAGAATCTGCTCTGTAATTCAGTATAAATCAGTACAGTTAATAATTATTTAGCATCAGCATTAAGTGTTATGGATTCAATCATGAAAAGTCAGCAGACACCATCCCAAGTAGCTAATAATATACTTGAAGAAGAAGAGACAGACATGGATGTAAATAATTATGTAATAGTAATAAGATGAATCTTAAATATATATAAAAAGTATACAGGCATCACATGTATGAAAGCAAATATAAATCTCTAAAAATCAAAAGGGTTTCAGAAAGATAATGATGTAAAAAAAGGCATTTTCAAAGATGAGCAGTTGTCCAATAAGCAACTGAGGGTACTTCAGGCAGAAAGCAGTAAGTCTCAGCTATGTTGCAGAGCCTGAAAAAAAGATTATCACATGCTGCAGGGATTGCAAGAAGTCCTGTGTGACTAGAAGACCAAGTATCAGACAAGACTAAATAATGAGGGGTCTTACATACCATAAGGAGCTCTGATGAAGCAGTGTTTAAAGCATTCAGCTGCCAACCAAAAGCTCAGCAGTTTAAACCCACCAGCCTCTCCACAGGAGAAAGATGAGACAGCCTGCCTCCATAAAGATTTATAGCCTTGGAAATCCTATGGGGCAGTTCTACTCTGTCCTATAGGGTCACTAGGAAGAAAGAAGGGACAGTCCACTTTAAAAAAATTAGCCACTGAAATCCTCATGAATACCCATGAAACAATGTCTAATAGAGGGCCAGAAGAAGAACCCCTCAGGTTGGAAGACACTCAAAATACAACTGGGGAGACTTCTGGTAAGATGGAGGAATAGGCAGACAAGTGACACAAACCCTCTTCAACAAAGAAAAGAAAAACCATTTGACAGACTTAGAGACGATAATCCTGGAACCTTGAGCTTTGAGAAAGAACTATGCAAAATAAGTGGATTAGGCACCAACTAGTGGAAAAACCTGAGCGAAAAGAGTGAATACAGAGATGGTCGGAGCTGTGGACTATCAGCTACTCTGATGGGACCAACAGCCTGAATATTTCCAGGTGGTGCTGGGACTTGAGAATTGACCTAAAGATCAGCCCTGGTCACCAAGGCTGCAGGAATGACTGCACTGGAGGCCTATGACTAGGAAGAGAAACAGCAAGGAGGGAGACAACCTGACCTGTGGACTTGCCGCTGTCCAGAGGGCCCAGCCATTTTGATTGTTTACATGTGGCAGCCATTTTGGATATTTAAAGTGACCGAGGGTGCAGCCATTTTGAATGTTTACAAGTGGTGACCATTTTGGATATTTAAAGTGATAGCATTTTCATTCAGATTCCAGGGACCTAAAAATAGGCTGTTTTCCAAGCTTGGCAGGGACATACAAGAGGCTGACAACAGGAAATGAGACAAGTGGTGAGTGTATAAGTGATGTCAACAAGCAAATGAAGGAGCACAGTACCCTGCTTGCATAGATAACATACAAACAAAACAAAGAAAATGAAAATCATGGGAAAGTCACTCCAACATACAATCACCAATTAAATATAAACACAAAAATGTCACAATGCCTTCGAGACAACAGAGCAGCACAGTCTGCATGAAGAAGCAAGATAAAGCAGGAGAAACAAGGGACCAGGATACAGACCCAAAACACATCCCTGAGGAAGACGCAGCACTGGAACTCCTTGATGAGGAACTCAAAAGAATTATATTTAGGTATCTTCAACAAATTGAGAGACAGATCAAGGAAAATGCAGAGAAAACGCTAAAACAATGCTAAAAAGGCAGGAGGCCACATGTTCTGACCTCTCTAACCTCACAAGAGAAAGACAGAATCACCATCAGTTGCCCAAGGCCTATTACTGCAAGGCCAGACATGCTCCCTCCCTCTAGCCCTCTCACCAACCATTCCTCCCAAAGCACCCACCACCTCTCTCCTGGGTTCAATAATTCACTGCAGTGGCCACACCGAACTCATGATTGTGAGGTGTATTAGGGAAGCACCAGGCTACAATTCAAGTTCAGGAAAAGCGCTCAGTCTCTCTCCCAGCACGCTGTCTCTCTGCCAACAGTCTCTCACAGACTCTCTACCAGCAGTGTGTATCCCTTGGTGTCTCTCTCAGCAATGTGTGTCTCTTGCATCTCTTTCCCAGCAGCACATGTCTCTCAGGAGCATGTCCTTCCTCAGCCAGCAGTCAAAGAGAGTTCTGCCTCTAGGAGGCCTCCTTTTGAGCCCAGCAGAGTGGCCAGACCAACCAATCATAACATCAGAATTCTAAACACCTGAGAGAGAGCGGGAACCTCCCAGAACATTGTTTTGTGCCACTCCCAACAGAAATACCCCCGGTGGACAACTTTAGCAATCAGGAGCTCCTCAGTTGCTCATGGCAAATTCTACCTCGGAGTTTACAAAGACTTATGGGTAGAAAAGCCACACTAAGTAATTTACCACACCACAAACAATTTTGAAAGACAATACAAGAACAAAATAACAAAATATATAAAAAATTAGAAATGATACAAAATCTACACACAGAAATCCAGAAGATTAATACTAAATTGTCAGAAATAAATAAGACTTTGAATGAGCAAAGGAGCAGAATTGAATCAATGGAAGACAGAATTAGGGAGATTGAAGGCAAATACCTGAACACTTCTTTGGAAAGGGATAAATCAGGAAAAAAGATCAAAACAAATGAAGAAAGCCTAAGGTTCATGTGGGATACCATCAAAAGGAATAACCTACATGTAATCAGAATTCAAGAACAGGAAGAGACAAATAAAACCACAGAGAAAATTCTTGAAGATTTGTTGGAAGAGAATTTTCCTAGTATGATGAAAGATGAGAATATATCCATTCCAGAAGTCCAATGAACCCCAAACAGGATAAACCCCAAAAGAAAATCACCCACACATATCATCATCAAACTTACCAAAACCAAAGACAAAGAAAGAATGATGAGAACAGCATAGAAAAAACGGAAAGTTACCTACAAGGGGCAACCAATAAGACTAAGCTTGGATTTCTCAGCAGAAACCATGCAGGCGAGAAGACAATGGGATGGTATATATAAAACACTGAAAGAGAAAAATTTCCAAGCAAGAATTATGTACCCAGCAAAACTGTCCCTCAAATATGATGGTGATATTAAGACATTTCCAGGTAAGCAGAAATTAAGGGAATTTGTTAAAACCAGACCAACCTTACAAGAGATGCTAAAGGGAGCCCTTTGGACAGAGAAGCAACAATAACCAACAACAAATGCTGACCATTAACACACATGATGATATAACCCAGGAACCAACCCAACTATGGAAGTATCCAAAGTAAATAAGCCTACAAGACTGTAAGTAGGGAACCAGAGATACCAATTGACAAATGAGGACAACTACAAACCAAAAAGAAGGAAAAAACTGTGTCATCACAGAACTTCTAGATGATAGGGAAGTCAAGACAACTACAAGATAGTATGGACTGTTCTAAACTTGGGAAGAAAACTATAAATCACAGGGTAATCTCAAAGAAATATGATAAACCTTCACATCAAAAAAAGGACCAGCATAAATATTCAGCAAATACTAAAGCAATAGCAATGAAGGAAGTGATAACATGATTCATAAACAAAACGAGCTCAGCATAGAGCTCAGCATGTTTGTTGTTGTTGTTGTTGTTGTTATGTGCCGTCAAGAAAATTATATGCAACAAAGAAATTGACAACATGAAAAAGCACATAACAAAAATGCAGCAACAAGCTCATATTTGCTAATAATTACATATCTGGCAAAGGATTTATTTCTAAGATTTATTGCAGAAGAGTGGATGACCAAACTATGGTACATATACATAATGGAATGCTATGTAGCCCTAAGGGAGCTCTGGTAGCATAGTGGCTAAGACACTTGCCTGCTAACCAGACGGCTGGCGGTTCAAACCCACCAGCTACTCCTCGGAAGGAAGGTTGGACAATCCTACTTCCATAGTGATACTGCCTCGGAAACCCAGAGAGGGGTCGCTATGAGTCGGGTTTGACTTGACGGCACATAACAACAAACAACAACAATGTAGCACTAAAGAATAATGTAGAGTCTGCAAAACACCTCATAATATGGATGAACCTGGAGGACATTATGTTGAGTGAAATAATCAACCACAGAAGGATAAATATAGTATTAGTTCATTGTTGTGGAGGGTCAAGGAAAGGTTTATATATGGAGGGAAACTTTCTTTGTTGGTTGCCAGGGGTAGGAGGGGAGGGGATGTGAGGAAACACTGCAAAAAAAAAGAAAAATGCATTGACTCATGTCACTTTAGTTTTGTGTATTTCACTGTACATACATTATATTTCAATAAAATGCATTTAAAAAAAAAAAAATACAACTGGGAAGTAGCTGCAAGAACCAGCTCAAGCATGGCAATGATTGTGAGGATGGTGCAGAACCGGGCAGTGTTTTCGTTCTGTTGTACACAGGATCATTATGAGTCAAAACCAATGTGACAGTACCTAACAGCAACAATAGGTCACCATGAATCAGAATTCACTCAATAGCAGTGGGTCTGTTCTGGTTTGGATATGCCATGAGAAGGGTTTTAGTCTTTATTATGCAGGCCAAAATGTCCAAATTCTTTTATGGTTACCCCAATAGTAAAACATTTCTGAACACATACCATTATATACTTTTTAATTTTATTTTATTGTATTTTATAGTAGTTCATGATATATATTTTCATCACCTGCCTCGCATTCTTTTGAAAATGAATAGTGTCTAAATAAATTTACACACACACACACATATATATACACATATATTCCCATATTGATATGTTGTTGTTGTTAGGTACCATCAAGATGATTCCAACTCATAGCATCCCCATATGTCAGAACAATTCTGCCCCA